AGAGTCTGACTAAAATATCAGGTGACATGTGGGTCTTGACCACTAAGTGATACTGAGTAGAACTGCTTAGTGAGCTGTCACCTGATTGACAACCTCGTCCTGGAACCTTCTAGCTGGTTCTCTACTATTCCATAGATACTCCGGCATGCATCACATCTATATCTAATTGCTATCTGATAAGATAAGATAGGTGCACACCTATTCTGGAATATTATTTGGAAAACTGTGACACATTTATACTTCCCACTGGTCATTCACTGATCAAGTTTTACTGTTTTACAAATTTGTAGAGCATCTCTCTACTCCCTCGCTTCTCAGCTGAATTGTCACAGAATTTTATGGCATCTATCTTATCTCCAGCATCTAGATGATCTACATCTTATCCAATTAGATATCTAGCTAGATAAGATAGCGTAATGCATGGTGATATGTTACTAGTCAGGTGTCTAGCTTATCAAAAGCATGTCAAATGGGCTATTCATACGTTCACACAAGATTTTCCCATTTGTACTAGAGACATACACGGTCGTTCAGGTGATCATCATATAACAGACTGCTGACCGAACACATGGACAGGGTGATGGTTCATGCGCTAGGTATTCTTAGATAGCCAATAGCGTATTACGAGCATCAGTCATCCTAAGTGTTAGGTGTACTACCAGTAGTATCCGGGGTCTGGTCCCTCATGTATAAAATACCAGAGCAATCCAGCGTAGTATGGCAGTCTGTTCTTACAGAGTGGCTCCCCACTAGAGACCAGGTGGGTTACAATAGGTTAAGACAGGAGATACAGGGATGATGAAGACTCTAAGTCAGAGATATAGGATATTGACCAAGTACTTCGCCTAGGTTCAGGGTATCCAGAGGTTAGGGGTGAGCCTGGGTCCAATGTGACTTAAAACCCATGCCAGGAACTGGACATCCGGCGTGATGATCTGGGGCAGGACGGGATCATGAACTAGGGATTACTCAGGGGTTGATATGACTCATCCAAGAGCTGCAGATGACATCACATGTATCTAATAGTACAGAGCAAATACCGTCTACTTGACTCTACTCTCTCTCTGAGTTAACAGCTTACAAGACAAGTCAGTCATCTTACCTCTTGTCAACTACCAGCACTACACAAGTGAGTACTGGGGTTAGAGTTAGGGTTAGGGTCAAGGGCGATACCTTGACATGAATCCAGGTAAGTCACTACCCTTCTGAGTGTGTATCTTTCACCCCAACGCTATTTACAGTTGAATGGTGGCCATGATTTGCTGCCTCTATTTGGGACTCAGTGGTCCACCCTCTCACATATCATTTCATCACTTGCAGACTCTCCACTTCTAATGCAGGTTCCCATCAGCATTCCAGTCAAGTAGGCATAAGAAAGAGTTATGAGAAGGTGGTGGCTACCAGGAGTGTAAAAAAGAGAGAGGTGATTGGAACAAAAAGGCTGTAGACTAAGAGACAAGTGACATTGTCACATTGTTGTACATATGGCAGGAGGGCAATAAGCTACAGCAGACACTGTTACAGCGTGAGAGGGGGGTTCTTTTTCTTTTCCTAACTATTCGTTGTTGACCCTGTAACTGTATATATTACAGCGTGAGAGGGGGGTTCTTTTTCTTTTCCTAACTATTCATCATTGACCCTGTAACTGTATAACTGATTCCATCACCTGATGTGTTTCACCTACATCAGTGTTTCATATCTATCATGTTTCACCTATATCATGTTTTACTTACATCACATTTCATCTCCATCATGATTCACCCTCATCACTGATACAACCCAGTGAAACCTGTTTCATGTACATCA